GCTTACCTGACAAAGAGGCTCCACTCATGGTCTCTGCTGCCACAGCCAGTAGACGGGCAAAGTTGGTGCTGTCGTTGGTGTAGCAGCTGTCCACGGAGCTGATGAGGCTGGTGCGGGCACTGGCCAGGTTTCCATCCGTGACCGAGCTCCAGGTGTTCCAAAGCGAGCTGTCCCAGTCGCTGTAGCAGGACGACGGCGTGCTCTGAAGGCGGGCGCGACGCAAGCCGATGGGTGGGAGCTCAGGCTCGTCGGCGGCGGTGTCATCCTCCATCTGAGTGGAGCGGACCGGGCCACAGAGGTAGCCTAGGTTGGGGGTGAAGTGGTGGGGCAGGGAGGGACGCTGCTCCGGGAGAACACTGTTGACAGACAGGAACGGAAGCTAACTACATACTGTGCATGTTAATGTAGTCTGCGTGCAGTATGAGCCTAAGTGGCAGGGAAATAACACATAGTTGTATAAGCATTTGTTCAGTGTGCACTGTAAAAGCCAGCTGCATCCAACACCAGTCTGTACCTGCATCTCTCCGGTTTAGGACTGAGCTCCAGGTATTCGGTGGCTTCCTGTGCTGTCAGTGTGCCACCGTGTTCGTTATCCGCTGACATGGAGTACGATGCAGTGGACAGGTGGCTGTAGGAGGGGCAGCTGCTGGTGGTTGGTCCAGGTTGCCCATGGTGACCTGATGGAGGACATATTGACTGGAGAGAGCCCGTGTCCACTGTTAGCTTTGTGGAGCGGCTGGAGCTGACGAGGGAAATACAAAAGACACGCATGTAAGAAGTGTGTTTGTTCCTGCTAACTAACAATTATTGTCATTGTTGATTATTCAGTTGCTTGGTCTATGAAATGTCAAAATAATGTTAAAAATGCCAATTCCCATCCCAAAGCGCGACACAATGTCACCAAATGTCTTGTTTTGTCCACAAGCCAAAAATGAACAATTAATGGTTGTAGATAAGGAAAGAATGCTATCAAATATTTGCATTAAGAAGCTACAATTTGAGCATTTCGATTTTTTTTTAACAAATTACTTAATTATTCAATTATCAAAATGACAACTAATAGATTAATAGATTTATTGTTACAGCTCAGATGTAAATCCTATTTTAAATGATAAGAAGACATGTTGCTCTTACACTCTGCTCTCTTACCCTTGTGGAGATGTAAAAGTGTGTAAAAAATAGAATAATTTAATGTGTCAACATAAGAATGGTATTGACAATTTAATCTAACTTTACTTTACCTTAGAGCAAATAAGCATATTTCCCAAAATGTAAAACTATTGTATGAAATGCCTCAGTTCCAAGATAATAACGTCAACCTAACAGCACCTCTAAGTGTCACTAATTACACAGCATTCTCAGGAGCCTGTCTCTGTGAGGCTACTTTGCAGCACTGCTGTAATTTACCTGAAAAAACACATTAAACCTGTCTTCGGGTTTAGTTTGTGTCTTTCCTCAGCCCGTGCATACTCAGCCAATCCGCACAGTGAGTTCAGAAGGTTAAAAAGTTAACTGAGAAGTTACATTGGTGGGTCAAACTCTAAAATTACTAAATATTTCCAACCTCATAAGGGGCAGACAGAGTTTAACAGCACCTTCGCTGTATACAAAATGCAAAGGAATAGAAGTGTTAATTAGTTCAGCACAAAAAAATAAGATTTGTCCTGATGCCCATAGTTTACTACTACGCTACTTCTTCATGCTATCGGCAAGAAAATTACTGCTGCAGCAAAGTCTCTGTTTTATGATCTCACACCTGCATGGTTGTCTTACCCTTCATCTGAGGTGCAGCTGTGTGTATCTGCACTGTCCTCTGTGGGCATCGGTGGTGGGGGAGGCAGCATGTCTACCAGGTGCAGCGATGCAGAGTAATGCAGCAGACGAGGACAAACAGCAGCTTTACCACAATCTGGATGTCCACCTGGATGGATAAATTTAAAAAAAAAAAAAATCATGGTTACTGTTTACAAATATGTAATTTCTACTTTTATTCCATATTCTGGCTCAACCACAAGCAACATTTTAAATTTAAGGGTTATAATACATTCTGAGGTGAGCGGGGGTGAGGGACAGGGGACAATGTGTTGATAATAATGATCTGAATGAGACTTGGGAGTACCGTGCCGGCCTGCTGGTATGTGACTGAGTCTCTGTTTGTAGACACTGGATGGACAAGCCTGGTTCCTTGTGGACAGGATGGGGACACTGTTCACTGCATGCAACTCTGGGGGGGAAACAAATGAGTCAGTCTAGTGTTGATGGACAAAGTGGGATGACGATCAAAGAACAGAGAAGAAACTCTAGCAGTGACACTAACATCACATTCCCAGCTGTCCACCACTACTCACCTTGTTTGCCGCAGTTCTTTTCCCATGATTCCCTCAGCACACCCATCTTGGGCTGAGGTCGTATGGCCTGTTTCCACGGAAGAGCCTCCCGGCTACTGAGGGGCGAGGACTTGGAGGCAGGCTGACTGAATATCTGGATGGTCTCAGCTCCTTGCTGGTGGGATAAACCATGAGGCCTTTTAGGGCAACGCCCAGGACTGTTGAAGGTCTTGAGGCCGTTGCCCATCAGGTCCACATAAAAAGTGCCATAGACACCGCAGCTGTCAGTCACGATGGGGACAGCTGACTCCAGGCAGGCGTTGTCCTTTTTGGATGAGGCTGGGAGGCCTAATGAGACAAAGGGGATCTGGGGTCACACTCTCAGTAAACTTTGGTAAAGGAGTTTGTTATCCTTACGTACAAGTTGCTTCATCAAACATTATGAAATATCATGCTATTTTCTGCCATTTTATCGATCAAACAAATTATTGATTAATTGAGAAATAACTGACAGATTACTCAACAGTGAAAATAATGGTTGGTTTCAGACATGATCAATGCCATTAATTTACTTAGATGTGACTGTTTATAACCTGGAAATAGTGCAGAATCTGAATATTTATCAGCTGCGATCATGAAGCTGGGATTTGTTTTTTCCTTGTGAATCTGTGTGTCTGTCATCATGGCACAATGTGGTTCTGGAGAAACCTATTGTAGCAGGACACAAAAGTGGTTTTGAGTGCACTGGAAAGTGTCAACATGTCTGACTATGGACAGATTTTATTATTACAATAATGTCACAACTATGCATGATACAATAACGACACCTTACAGGTCTGTTGTTGAGATCAAAATGAAAGAGTTCAAAGATGGGAGATCTGACCCATGAGTACTGAGCAGGGTTTTTTTTTTTTGGCTTAATCAAAGCAGCACTGATTTGAACCAAACCAAACAGATTAAATGTGAGAGCACCCTTGAAACCTACTAACAGTAGAAAACTTTATTATCCAAAGCTCAATAGATGTCACCACCAACTTCATTGAAAATTGTTCATTTTTTTTCACTTTTTTTCTGTGTCATTTTGCAAATCAATACTCACTGGTGCTCCTGATCCCGGGGTGTCTCTGACCCTGGGCCCATAAGTCCTGATATTTCTGGTTGAAAGCAGGTCTCCAGCCTCCAGAGATCCATGGTGAATCTGGAGCTGCCATCCTGTAGAGGAGGCAACATGTCATTTGAGAGAAAATCCAGTTAAAATAAATTAAAATGTGTAAACAAAACTGAGATGTTTATACTGCTTTTATATCATTTCTAGTGAAAATACTTGAATGAGTCTTAATTTCATCAAGCTTGCTTGCTCATGAATAGGTGTCCAGATTTACATACTCATGTTCTGCACTGACGTGAAGATTGATAGTAACTTCAGAATTGATATTTTCAAAACATCTTGAAATAAAAATAGATAAATTGTGTCTTTCTTGATATAAACAGGCTGTTGGCTGGATTCACATTCAACTCATTCTTTTTCATCAGTGAAGTCTGAGATTTGAATCTTTTGCTATTATAGGCAGTGTTGAACTTAATAAATGTTTATTTCTCCTCCAATGAGCGATTATGCTCATTTAACCAGTAGAAAGAAGTGAGGAGGGGCTCAGTGCTTTGGGTGATACATCAGTCTGTGTGGATATGGTTCCCGAATATCATGCAACTTCAACATTTCAAGCTCAGACTGTGTTGACTTGCTTACATGTTCAGAGTTTTGTGGCTGCTTTGCCTACAACACCTACACACACAACATAGCATTCTCCTCGTACTGCAACCACAGCTACAGCATTAGCCATCGTGATTGTAGGCAAGACCCAAGATACAACAAGACGGTAAATAAAGCTGAAAAAGAAGACTTGGCTTTGGGGGTTTTCATTTTTTGTGTGACCTTTGTGTCAGTACATTATAAAACATAAAGGTGCTTTCCACTTTACCTGTGTTTGATAATGAGATCTTCACTGGCCAGTCTGCGCAAACCTACAGAAAAAGAAAAATATTAACATAACATAATGAACAGCCTTTTTGATCTTTAGACACAACATAACCATGTCATCAACTTTGTGTCTTTTCTCCTATAGTGTGGGTCTTGTTCTCTCTGTAGGTATCACTGGATCTGGAGCTACACATTTCTGATCTGCAGTTATTGGCCTCACCAACCCCAAGGAAAGTTGATTTCCTTCCCATTGCTGCCAAGTGCTTGTTTAAAGGGAATCCAAAGCAAACTTTGGATTTTTTTGTGTTTCTCTGTGTAAGTTTTCTACAGTTTTCACCTCACAATGTAAAGCGCCTCAAGATGACGTATGTTACGAATTTGCGTTCTATAGATAAAAATCAATTGTATTAAAATAAACTGAGTCCTGAAGAACAGCGGACACAACTGAGATTCAGTTTTACATTTTAAATACAGAGCATCTTTCTGACATTTAGGAAGTCTGCATACACACCTTTAGCCTTGCCATGTCCTGGTATCAGGCGGCCTGTCCTGCTGTGGCGTCTGAAGAGGTAGACAGCTGCAACCATCAGAACACACCACAGGAGAGCACCGATGCTGCCGATCAACACTGGGTCCTGAAACAGGGCCATGACATGTGACAGCTCTCGCGTTTGGCTGCCTGATTCAGGAGGACCATCTAACTGTGGATCTGAGTGGCAAACAAGAGGTGGATTAATTTGGGTAAAATGCAATGAGAATTTCTCTGTTTGTGTGTGGCTATATCACACGCTACATTTATTCATGTACTATCCCGATAGAGAAGTAAAGAGCTGGTTTTCTCACTGATGACAAATCCATGAGCGTCACTCAGCATTCCCACTCCAGCTCCGTTGACTGCTGCTATGGTGATCCAATATCGTTTCCCTGGTTTGAGAGTGGAGATATTAAGGTTGTGGTGGCCGCTATCCACCGTCCAGTTTTGGAACTGATGCTCCTCAGACTCCACACACCACACCTGGAGAAACAGATTGCACCTTTAAGAGAGATAAGGACACTGATCCTTTTTTAAATGCTAAAAAAATACAATTAAATAATGGTTTAATATTGCACAAAAGTAGCCTATTGGGTGTTCATACCACAACTACTACAAATTCTGGACTCTGATTTGGTGGAAAGTGTGGATAAGTTCAAGTGAGTGGACAGTTAAACTGGACATGTATGATGTTTATTTGCTCTACAGTATACGTTTACTGCAGATAAACTCAGCTAAAGAATGATAATATCCTAATTAGGAACCACACAAATCCATCCATCCATTTTCTGTACACTGCTTAATCCTCACTAGGGTCGCGGGGGGCTGGAGCCACACACAAATGTAATTGTAAATATACTTTAACATATTTGAGTGAACCTTGGCGTGGTACAGTAGTACAGTGGTTAGAACTGTCGCCTCACAGCAGGAAGGTTCTGGTTTTAAACCTGCTGGTTGCCTGGAGCCTTTCTGTGTGGAGTTTGTATGTTCTCCCTGTGCTTGTGTGGGATTTTTCTCCAGCTGCTCTGGTGTCCTCCCACAGTCATACATGGTAGGTTAACTGCCGACTGTCACTTGGCCGTAGGTGTGAGTGAGTATTCATGCGTCCCATTCAGGGTTCACCCCGCCTCTTAGCCAATGTCAGCTGGAACAGACTCCAGTCCTTTGCTACCCTCTGCAGGATAAAGTGTGTACAGCTACAGGATGGATGGACTGAGTGAATCTTAAAGTTCAAACTACTAATGACCTAATTTAAGCCAGTGACCTAATTTCAGGAGTGAACACAGCTATGCAGGAGACTGGATCACCTGATACCAACTACCACCTTCTGCAATAACAAAAAACAAAAACTGTTCAAACCTACACCCAACAAAGACTCACCTCAGTCAGTCCAGCTCACACATTTTGCTGCATTATCCTTGATCTGCTCTAATTGTTGTTAGTTCTGCTGCCAGTTTTGTGACCTGATTTATTTGTGACCTGTCAGTCACACCTGGACCCATTCACAGACCTCCAGAGCACCTCCATTACTGTGCTCCTACCTGTACCTGCTACGCTCTCTCCACACAGCCTTCACCTTCTCTGCTGCTCGTCCTCTGGCTCCAGAGTCCTGCCAGATTCAGATTGTTGTGAAAACTCTCCATAATCCTAGTCCACGAAGTGTGCGAGCAGTCTCCTCTGTGTGTCCTAAGTGAAGGCTAAGCGAATGTCCTGAATCAGTCTTGTACAACAGGATGCTAAGATCACTTATTCTGTTCCAGTCTTTGGTTGCTGTTGAGTCCAGTTCAGTCTTTCCCTGTCTTCACCTCTAGTCATTTTTCAGTTTGAATGTTTCTGCCACATTTCGTCATAGTTAGTTCCAGTCTAGTTATCTCAGCCACCCACCAGGACCCTCTGGCTTCTCAGACCAGCTGTGACAAACTAAACTACTGGCATACAGGAAATGACTACTACGAATCAAACAAAGCTTCCACTCCGGACTCTTGATCACCCTGCCAGCATTATTTGGCAGCACCAGTGGACAGTTGCTCAGTAACTTTTTCTTACGGACTCTAACTACAAAATAAAGACAGCAACTTACTCATATTACACAAACATGTTAAGAAATTAAAGTTTAATGAAACTCGAGACCCAACAATCTCAAACCAAAAGCTCACTGTTTAGTTTACAAAAAGACTGCATAACGCTTAGATGGAATTAACATATGACAGAATGCATCTGATGCCGCATCTACATCCCATGACTGTAATGGATGACATAAGGGCTTGAAACACACTCCCCATGCAATGTTTAGTTGAATGTTCTTACATCTTCTAAGAACCTACAGTTTCTTCCAGGAGGTGATACTACACTTTTGACTCTGGGGCACTGTAGTGCTGTTCTGCTGTCATTACCTGGTACCCCTGTATGATGCCATTGTGGGTTTCATGAGGAGGAGGCTTCCAGCTCAAACGAATGGTGTTGTTCTGTTCATGGCTCACTGTTATGGACACATCCAGCGGAGAAGCACTGGGCACTGCACAAAGGGAGATGACTATTATCTCTTAAACTGTATATTTAAGTTCATTACAACTTGTGTATTAAAAAGCAAAAGGAAAGATCCTTTCCCACCTGTTTCAGGTACTCTGAGGTGCTGAGTGTTGCTCTCCCTCCCATACAAGCTGCTGCCATAGGGACGAACTTTGAACTCGTACTTGTAGCCTCTCTTTAAAGGGCCCACCTGCGCTTGGAAGCTGGCCGGTGTCACCTTCTGTGCTGTCCAGTCTGAGGTGGCAGGCAGCAGAGAGCGATACAGAACCTCAAAGCCGTCGAGGTAGTGGGGCTGAGCTGGGAGGGACTGGAGCTGCTCAGGGAGAAGACACAACATGGATCTTAAACCTCTGTTCCTGCACTCTGCCAACTGCTCAGAACCAGCTTCTCCATACCTTCCATTTCACGAGGGATGTGTTAGACCCAGGAGCCACGATGATGATGTTCTCCAGAATGACTCGCAGGGCTGACAGCTCTTTGTGGAGGTCCTTCTGTTTCGTGCTCGTAGCATCTTGAGACACAAATGTTTTAATCATTTATACATTACATTTCTTTTAAAGCACGTACAAACAGGACAAACTAAATAGTTACTGAGCAAAATGTAATTTTTCTAAAAACGTTTTGAAGTATTGTGTGTTTTCTCTGACTGGATGATTTCCACATCAGCCACATATGAGATAGTTCCAGTAGTTTGCAAGGATGTCCTGTTTCTGGGCAGCATCCTCAGCTCCTCTTGACTTTTCTATAAGTATTCCACTTGCATTCCACTGTGTTTTACTCCTAATCCCTTATTAACTACCCACATTTCACATGTCACTGGAGATTGCTTTTCGGAATGCATTATCACCCAGACTAATGACCTTTGAGACAACGGCCCAGATCCTCCCTGGGCCCACATTTATCAAGTGTCTAAGAGTCGAAACAAGCAACAAAATCACCCCAAACATTCTAGAACCAGCTCTGCTTTTAATATAGTTATTCAAGTCATCATGGTACAATGTATAAATCAAAATATTGCAATGTCAACATCATGCAGCCTTATATTTAACCCCGAGAACCCCAAAGCCTGTGTGCCCCTACTGTTTCCACAGAGGTGCAGGACTTCATATATATTAGAAACATATATTTCTGTGAAAAATGAGCCTACAGTGATGTGACAGGAGCAAAACAACACCAAGAAGGATTAGTGCATAAACCATCATCTCTGTCTCCATATGTCAGTCGCAGTAGTTTCTGTGAAGCCAGTGTTGTCTCACTAATATGCAGGCTCTTGCAGAAATATGCTCCAAAGTCTAATCAGATAAACTACACCATGCGGAGCTGCTCTTGAGCCACAGTGTTCACAGGAATGTTTGACACCAACATCATGGCATAATGTAGTTTTAGAATATATTATGAAAATGAGTATTGTAAAATGAAAACATCACACTCTGTGCAGGGAGTATTCGATTTCCTTCCTCAAAGTAAGTATGGGACAATATTTCTGAAGTCCTACTCTGTGATACAGTGTTTTTAGTCTTACTTCAAACTTCACTGACATTCAAGAAGTGATTCTAAGATGCTTGTTACATACAGGCCAAGATCAATCACAACAGCAAAGTAGAGCAATCAATACGCCCTGTCCTCTCCCTTATATCTGTACACTCTCATAGCTATGCTATGACAAAACCTCCACAGATTTTATTTCTTGCAAAATGGATTTTGACACAAGCTCACCGTCAACCAGTAGCTGTGCACTGGCAGTGATCACCCCGACATCATTGACAGCAGTGCAGGTGTACCTCCCGGCATCCTGGGCTGTCACATAGTGGATCTGGAGAGTCTGGTCTGGGTTTACGAGATACCTGTTCACACATAGGTAAAGCGGTTCATTTCAAAGGTAATATCCTCCTGATCTCGTACAAAAGAATTGATATTAGAATTAGCTTTAGTGGTTAAAGTTTCACCTCCAGTTTATATTGAAAAATCTACAAATGATGCTGTCCACATCTTCCCAAACATTTTTTCATGCAGACTTGTTTGTGTTCAGATATTTTTTGCAAAGTATTATCAACATATTAACATTACGGCACGTTGTTCTACCACTTTCTCTATTTTGTTTCCCTCTGCTCCCCTATGAGATGATGTGAGGTGGTGACACTGATCCCTGATTGCTCCCTCTGGCACCATAATCTTAATAGTATCTGGTAATGCGCCATTATTTTCCAAATTTGTCGTGTGTGCACATCTGAGATTATGGAGCAAAAACTCTCTTCTTTTTAAGCATTTCATGCAACCACATTTCCCAATCTGTAGTAAACTATTATTGTGTGACAAGCTTAGTTTGACAATAATGTAGTCTTATTACTTTGCAATTAAGCTGTATGTCAAATCAGAGACGTAAAAATCCTTTTTTAAAATGTCAATTTCTTGTAAAAAAAAAAAAAAAAGTAAGAAGTGACAAAGAAAGAGGAAGAAGTTCGGCTTCAACACTGTGAAACAAACAGTTCCCATAATCCGTGCATCACATCAATATCAAAGTAAACATATGATACACAAATCAGTGATGGTCAGGTATTGAGTGCACTCTATGAATGGAATATTTCTAATCTTGCAAAATAAAGTACCTGCCGTTGGGCAGTGGCCCCTGCTCTCTGCTCCAGACCACAGCAGGCGGAGGGTCACCTTTAGCTCGGCAGTAGAACTGGGCAGACTCCCCCAATCTTACCGACACATTCTCTGGCTTCAGCACCAATGTGGGCTTGGCTGCAGATGAAGAGAAGAGATGATGAGAGGTGATAACAAAGCACTGCATTGAAAACGTAGTGTTGCTAAAACCGTGATGACTTGTTTTTGGAACGTTGTCTCACCCAGCACAGAGAGCCGAGCCGCCCTGCTCTGTCTCACCCCCATAGTGTTGCTGGCCACGCACACATAAACGCCGGAGTGCTTCTTCTCTGCAGGAGCGATGATAAGCTTCCCACTCAGCTCCTGCAGCACAGTCCAGACAAGAGTGAGGAAAAAAAACAGGACCCACAGTTCAATAAGGGGTATATCAGAAACATATACACAGTCGGGTCCATGAATATTTGGACAGGGAACGTTTTTATAGGGGTTTAATAGATATGTTGTGCTAGACATTTAGGAATTACAACCAAAGAGCACATTTAATACGCATCCATTATCTATACACCGCTTAATCCTCACTAGGGTTGAGGGGGGCTGGAGTCTATCCCAGCTGACTCAGGGCGAAGGCAGGGGACACCCTGGACAGGTAACCAGTCTACCACAGGGCTACACTTAGAGACAGCCACAATGCAAACACAATGTTCCTTTAATATCGCTGTGCATTTACCTTCCGCTCCTGGCTTGATGTTAGTCTGAGTGTGATTGCCACGCCTGCAGCTACCGAGCTCATTTAAATGTCAACAACCATCCTGCACCACCGTTTTTTCTACACTAGTTCAATTTATCCTTGCATGGTTTGTTTATCATTTGACCTGAATATATAATATTAACACTGTGATAAAAGACGACGTATAGCTTTTGTCTCGTACATCACACATATGCATACATAGAGCAGCCATATTTAGGTAACTCCTGCAGTCACACCTTAGTTTTTTGGAGTAAAGTCGGCATACGGTGTTCTCATTTTAATCTAGAAAAGGTGTGTTGTGATTTTGGCATACAAACTATGTAGTAAACATCTCTGTGAGGTCTTCTGGATCAATATTATAGCAGAAATGTTGAAAAATCCTTCCTTAAATCACTTCACACAACTCAAAGTACCACTGCTTCTCCGTGTGTGTCCGTTAATGTGATGGTTCAGTAAGACTGCTGCCGGTGCAGCTTTTACAGATGAGCGACCAGGGTGCACATTCAAACATGCTGCTGACCTGTTTAGGACCAACATCCTAAGTTTTAATTAAAGCAGACTCGGATGCTGTCACATTTGCATACCGAGGTGCATTCAGAGGGCTTACTGTGTAGTGCTGGTCGCTGCTGTTGATGGGCAAGCCGTCCTTCTTCCAGTAAACATTAGGTTCCGGATGTCCAGTTGGAGGTTCACAGTTTAAAACAGCCACCTCCCCCTCTGCCACTTCCACATCACTGGGCTCCACATTGAACTCCTCCTTCAACACTGCAACAACACAGAGAAAGGGTTAAACTGGATAAGATGAAGTCCTGTCTGATCAGGAGCCATGAAAACACTACAGTCCAAATAACATTGAAACCTCACAGAAATTCTCATTTGTGTCCTTTTATGATCAGTGTCAACTATTTGTTTTCTGCTGTAATAACCTCTTTTTGTGTCCAGAGATATGATTGCAAATGTCTTATATTTCTTCTATTATTGAAGCTGTATGTCCTGTAAAAACTGACAAACGAGCACCGGCAGCTGCTGCATGTCGCGGCCTCACTGTGATCCAGATGAGTCAACAGTGAGGCTCTGAGGTCAATTAGCATCACTGTTTGACTCCAGCAAACATTGACATTGGACTCCTGTGGCCCTCTGTCCCTGTAACCACATCTTCATCAGCTCTGCATGTGTCTGTGCATCGTCTTCATTGCCCCGAACCTCTACTGTGAAGGAGTTTAGGATTTCAGCTGTGTAGTAACGCTGAAATTGCTGACTTCAGAAAATATACAGCACACACTGAACATACATTTATGATTACTGGAATCAGAATTATGGCCAATCACAGTGTTTGCATGTTTTTCAGAGGATGCATTTTTCTACTGGGGCCTTCCCAGGATAACCTCAGGTGTTGATAAAACATTTATAGCATGACATAAGTCAGTTTTACAATTATGTTCCTCATGGTTTCATTCAGAAATTCCCACCACAACGATGGAGAGATTCATGGTACGCATGTAATATTCTTCTTTCACACCAGAACAAGCAATATATCAAATGACGTATAATGTATAATAATGCAATAAAGACTTCATCCACACTAATAACAGCTTAAATTTTCCAAATCTATGTGGACTATTATAACTGTGAGCACAGCAAAGTTTAACCACGTCAAAACATTTCTATTGAAACAACACCAGACAGAATTTATCATTCAAAGCTCAGTCATTTTGAATGTATTATTGCTTGTCTTAAGGGACCTGCTTTATGCAGATGATACATTATTAATAGCAGAGCTGGAAAAACACCTGCAGAATATGTGTATTGTCTTGACCAAATAGCGCTGGAAGTGGAGCAGAGAGCAACCAGGATATGGTGACGCAGTATATTTAGCAATACAAATATCTAGGTTATATTTCCACTATGCTAATTCAGCCATGACAGGATTTTTAATTGTATATCTAGAGCCACATTATACATCATATTGTTTATTTCTTACTTGATTTTTGTTGTCTTATTCTATGTCCACATACACACACTTGTTTAGCTGCTGCAATGTCTGAACCTTTCCTGCAGGTGCAAATGAAGCGTTATCTCCTAAGCGTTGTGTGTGTCCTGTTTCAGACAGTACTTCTGGGATTGAGGAGCTCCATGAATGTGTAAATCGTACAGTTCACTACAGAGCAGTTTGTGTACATACGGATGAACTGTGGCTCACTAGAAAGAAGTTTAACCAAAACATTTTACATTGACATTTCAATGATAAAATCTATATTTAATATTTTGACTGATTTCCATCCATTCATTATTATACACCGCTTTAATCCTCACTAGGGTCGCCAGGGGCTGGAGTCTATCCTAGCTGATTCAGGGT